GGCTGCCATTGCCAGGCGCGGGACCGGGAGGGAGCGAGCAAGCAGAGCATCCCCGTGTGGAGGCACGTATTCCTCAGCGGCTCCCCAGGATCCTGCCGGCAAAGATGTGCTGCTGCCGCATCTGACGCACCTCTCCCATGAGAGCTTCTGGTAGTTTGAAGGCAATAAAACAAGCGAGAAGCCCGTGAGAACGCAGACAGGGAGATGGGTATATAAAAGGCCTTTTGAAAGGAATCGGTTATGGACAGAGAGCCTTTCGGGCGAAGGGGCTGTTGTTTTTGCTTCTCGGTTGCAGAGATAAAGGGAGCCAGCAAGGAGTGTCGTATCCTGGAGGATTCTTCGGTGGCCTTTTTGGTATTGTTCTTCTCTTTCCCCTTGCACACTGCAAAGCGCTGACCTTTTCCTGTGGAATTGGAGTCTCTGCCACTCAACCCCTTGTTCCAGCTGGGAGGAAGAGGTCTTTCTCCCCCTCCGTTTGTGCAGGCACTTCTGTTTGAATGGAAAATGTATCTTTTTGCTGAAACTCTTTTGTTGTGACATTGCATAATAGACAGTTGTCTCGCCACAGGAAATAAAAGAAACGAAAGGAAATAGAGAGACGGAAGGGAATTGTTCCCCAAAGCAAAATTGAAGCAGGGAAGAGAACATTAAAATCACTTCAAGCCCTACCCAAGATCTAGAAGACCACAAATCTCCTAGCTCCAGAGGAAAATACACGATTATAAAAACTCCTCAGCAGTCAGTAATGATGAGCAGTCGTGGTGTTTCGTCTGGATGCAGCTGGTAAAGGAAAGCTTTGGAGGGGCATCGAGGCTCTGGCCTGTATGATGCCTGAAGACAGAAATGCTGGAGTCCGCAGCCCAGGTGCCCTAGCAGCAGCTCCTTTCATTCCTAAAACTACTTACAGGAGAATTAAGCGGTGTTTTAGTTTCCGCAAAGGTAGGTCCATTCTGTCGCTATGTTCTGCTTTGCTAGTGAAGCCATGGTTTCTGAGAAGTCAAGGGGGCTGGGTGTGCAGGGGCAGATGAGAGTACCAAAACAAAAAGCATTAAACAATGCAGATGCCAACATTCCACAAATGATTTATTTACTTCTTTGTTCATTTGTTTGTAGCTGGTCAGCTGATACTGTCCCCTCTACATAATAGCCCATGAATAGGCTGCCTGAATGAGGTGGCTCGAGACAAGATTATTGCAGAAGCCTCTGAGCAAAAATCAGTGGGAGCAGTGGGGGAATCGGAGCATCACAGGTCTGAGTCACCTATTTGGCTGGCAGAACATCAGGGAAAAGAGTTTGGGTTTGCATTTTGTCCTTGTGGGAGGAGGGGGGGAGAAGATGGGGAGCAAAGCAACATGGTAAATGTGCCTGTGTGCAGAAGACTCAATGCCTTGGATTCAGAGATTTCTGATGGCTTGAAGTGTAGCCCTACAATGCACTGTGCTGTTGCAAGTGCTGCATTGCCACTTCAGCCTGCTGCTCTGCAGCCTGCGTTTGCCTTCCCACCTGCTGCATAGAGATGTTTAGAGCCAGTTTTCTTCCACATTGTACATAGTCCTGTCCTGGGGGGAGGAGGGCAAAGAGGAGGCTGGCCTTCAAAATATGTCACCTGGGAGCACTGGAAGGGAAACACATGTCTGAGAAAGAGATATGACAAGGGGTGATGAGGTGCCA